CCAAAACGAAACATCTTCTGTCTACTTAGTGTTTACAAAACTAACCGATGGAACAGCTATAAATAGCCAATAATGCAAAGTACAAAATGGCGGCGTACAGTAAATTTCCAACACATGAAAATTACATTTCAAGGAAAATACAGTGAAATATGTGGATTTTAACAAAGTTACTTGGCAGTTTGTTAGATAATTACATTCTTCATCTGAGGAAATCAGACTTTACATAAATATACAATCATTTAAGGAATTATGACAGCTTAAAGTCAAGGTTAAAAGGATTGTTTACAAACAATTACATCTAAAGTGTCACGGATAAGGATTTTTTACACATAAAGTATCAGCAGCTAATATCATTGGTATAACCTGTTTAAATGAGCTAAAGTGTGTTGTTTAAAATGTCAATGCACAGTTCATTTTTCATTTTATGCCTTGTTAAAGTCAACAACTGGTACTGGATTTCACAACCCACTGATAAAGTAAAGTTCATGTAGGTAAGTTTTCTAAATAAATAATTGTTACACAGTTCACAGTTAAATTATTGATTAATGCCTGATACCCGGGACACATCAATATCCCGTTTTCACATCGTAAAAAAAGTTATGTCCGTTTCCGTAGAATATTCCAGTTCTGTCACTAGATTATAGACATTAAGTTGAGTTAGGTCCTTCGGGATCATTGATTCCAGCACTTTTAAGTATTGAAATTTGAGTACCGATCATGCCGGTGCTTATGGGCGTGGGCGTAAGGGATGTTGCGCTATTTTATTATCCCTCATGAATTGACTCAATCAAATCGAGTCTGCAATTTTCATGTAATTTGATAAGGATTTATGCTTCCGGGTAATCAGCCTACTTCCAGATTGTTTTAATGAAAACAACAAAGTGTCTTTGTTAAGTGTCTTACAAAAATGCTGCAATGTGAAATATATTTAAAACTCATGAGGATAAAAGTGGTCTTATCTTGTATATACTGTATCCTGATTGTAATTGACTTATATTAGGAATTATACAAGCTGTTCCGTGACTTGATTACACCATCGTTTATTGTATCTGATCACCCACAGAAACAAAAGAACATTTTAATATTACGTTGTAACAGTTTTCTTTTGTCAACTACCGCTAATGTACTACTTACGTCACGGTTCAGAACTGTTCACTATTTAGGGGAGAGCTATATTCAGTCAGTCACGGTCCCCCATTGGGCGCCAAATGTCACAGGGTGTGATAAATGTGCAGTCTGACCGGGACTCGAACCCTGGACTCTCGGAATACCGTACCGCGGTTCTACCGACTGAGCTATCCGGCCGCTGACACAACTTCACCCCTAAATAGTGAACAGTTTTGAACCGTGACACAAATATCAACTGTATGAAATTGAAATAAATTTTTATGGTATTAGCCTTTTGTCCAATATTTCATTTATTTGTTTCAAAGAAAATATTGTATAATTTTTATATATGCCATAAATACATATTTGTAAACTAATACCTATACGTTTATACGCAATAATGGTATAATTGTCAAAAATCCTATTTATTAATTAATTTACATGAAAAGAATACTTTTTAATTAATAGTATGTTACAGTGTAACTTCTGAATTCCGGAACTTCTTAAATCCGGAAACATCTGACATCCGAACATTTTTCAGGGTCCCGAAATTTCTCCTTCTGTTCTCTATGTAATGAAATCCTCTGAATTACAAAACTTCTAAATTCTGAATTCCGAACGATTTTCAGGTAAAATATGGGTTATATCAATAAAAATTTACTTCCAAAATCCGAAATTAGAAAAAAGGTGTGAAGGAATATTTTATTTGTAATTGAAAAACCTTCAAAATGTCAGTATCTTTTTTAACAGTACCCATTTAAATTTACATTCGAATTATAACCTGTCAAGCAAATCAAACACTTAAAGTGTGAAAATTAAGAAATTGAGAAAAGTAATGTGATGAAATGAAAAAATACAGGTGAAAAGCAGGTACTAGTAGTCATGTATATGAAATATACTAAAGGATCAATTGTGACAATTAACAGTATGCTATTGTATCAGCAAATTCAATTATAGGTGATAATGAAATTTAAAATAGTAAAAGTCCTATAATTTTGCTACTTTATTAATTTAATCATCTTCATATGTTTTTTTTTTTTATCATGTCTTACTATAAAACAATTGATGTATAATAATTGTACTTGTTCAGATAATTCCGAACTTCTGAATTCCGGAAACTTCCAAATTCCAAACTTGTTGGCAAGTCCCACAGATGTTCGGTTTTCAGAAGTTACACTGTATTTAATAATGAAATAAATGCTATATTACCACTTGTACATTGCCGTTTATTAATAGTTAACTCTAGTATAGAGGTTGTTTAAGACGTAAACATCCAATACTTATCATTCTATTGTTAGAAAATTGTTGACAAATATTCCCAAGGTCACAGATTAACCATCTTACATTTAATAATAAATATATAAAATGATGGATGTTTCAATAAATGCGCTTCTTGTGATTGTTTCTCCCTGGAAAATGGCTCTGAAATATGTTCATATTGATTAACATTATCTTAAGCTGTGTAATATGGAAAAAAACTGTATATATCTTTAAGATATGGATTCACATTTTTTTGTGTTTCATTAATTTGAGTCTTTAAGTATTAAATGAAAAATGTTAACATTGTCTAGTAAATGTTAACTGAAAAACATTGGTCCTTTGGTATAACATCAGGCGTATACTTACTACCAATCTTTATACTACCATGCATAACACTTCTACAAATATTCAATACAATTGCATCGGCAAACAAGAAGCGCAGCTGTATTGATGGTTTTTACTGTATTTATTCAGAGCCGCTTGGCGGGAGTTAAATATTAAATCATCAATTGCCTTGTAACATTTAACATATTTTATAACCTGCATAATTCTTTTCTATGATACGACCAAAAGCGAGTATAAATTTTAAATTGATATATTTGAAACAATGATAAGAATTGAGGATTGAAAACCGCTTTAGCCGGTACTAATAGGCATTTAAAAGCTGCACATTTCATAGCATTTTAGAAACAGACTTAATAAAAACGAATATGCATTTGTCGACCATCTGCTTTGTTTAATATGTTCTAAATGAATCATTCCTTCCCGAAATTTCACATCAACATTTTATATTGATGAAAGGTATGTATAACTTATCTTATCATTACCCATTTTCAATGCCAATGATGCATTTTATTGCGATTCTTTTCCATTTCAAATAAAAAAAATAATAAAAAAGATGACCTTTCGGGGAAAAAGTCCCTAAAATCAAACCCTATTTTCATTATAGAATTTACATTGAAACACCTGAATATGTATTCTTATTCCATTTTCAGCTCAATTCGATTGTTGTTATTATAAAAGAACCACTTGATTAATATTGATTTTGCATTGTTCTTTATTCTATGTGAACATGAATTTCTATTTAAATAGTATAACATATTTCGCCAGAGCGAAAACGCCTAGAAGGCATTTTGTATGAATCTATCGAACCCAAATCTGTCGCTGGGAAATATTGGCTTCCTTCAGGACAGCCATATACAATGGTTTATTGTAATTAGATGAAAAAAGCACCAGCTCTAATGGATGCATGCTTTGTCTAAAACGAGCTTATATTGTGTCCTCATGTTCTCAAAACATACACAAAGAGATATTGAAAGAATCGAATGAAAATAAATTCAATCCCCCTCTTCGAAAAAACATAAATAAGCCCGATTAAACATACCATGCAGAAATTATTTTATGAATGATTTAAACAGCTTCCCGACTTAAATTTTTATTTTTCTGTCATAAGAAAGTGAAAAATCACTCTTGGTTGAATTTTTTATAAAATGCAGCGGGAATAAAAGATCATATCGCTGGATTATATTTTGCTGAGATAAAAACGTATGAGATAAGATTTGCCATCACTGCCATTTCTAGTAATATAATCATATATTTCTGTCTTGTTAGTGAGAATATGAAATTGGTATGCAAACAAGATATTATCGATTGTTAACTTTCACCATTAGTTTAATAATTATCTCTTCCGATCAATAAATTTCTATTAATTGATAAGGTAATTTTATAGTGTTGAAATGGACATCATGTTGATGTAAATTCTACTTTAGAGAATTACTATCAATTGATATACCTTACTAATATTTTTATTTAAACCAGTATGTAAAAGAAAAAAATGTTATGAATATTAACACTGGTATCTATAAGTATACTTTGTTAAAAGAGACGTGTCTATGTAGGAAGAGACTATAATTATAGAAAGCAGATTTTGTTGAAAATCAAAGACTCAATTTTACAGAGAGATAATTGAATCAATATACATGTATTTCTTTCGTCCTGTAGAGCCCATGTTGGCTGAGGTGTTGCCTTTAAACCTTAATGCATCAGAATTTCTGCCACCGTTCATCCCTGCGTTAGAGGCGATTAAATGGGTTCGAATAACTGGAGTCTATGCATCTTTTAGCTCTAGCAGGTGAAGTGGTTTGTATCCCTGGCGTTGCTTTAAATTTGCAAAACCTGAGTTTAGCCGAAAGCATCTTTTCTGCTTCGACACAATATTACTTAAATTGTGTTTATGTGCCAAGCAAAATAAACAAAATAAATTGTCCTGTAGAAACAGCCCAGACGGTAATTTATCAACAAGACTAAAGTAATATGAATCAGTGCACCAAAGAACCAGAAATACATAACGTTTCAATTCATTCTAGCTATATTTCCAAACGCTTTTTAACATACTATATTCAAATAAAACCTTTTTCATATATTGATATATTCTTCTGTGCTTTTTTGGCAATTATACAGTAAATAGTTCTTTATTATTTTCATAATTTTCATAGTTCGGTTATTGTTGTTATGAACTGTACTGACTACATTAGAGAAGTTCACCGACAGTTTGAAAACGACCAATATTATAAGAAACTTGAAAATAATCCAACTGAACAATTTAAAAAAGAAATCTATGAGGGATTTATCAAATGGATAATATAAGTTACTCTATTAAAGAATCTTTGGTTCCTGATAGTGACAATAGAGTTCCAGCTTTTTATATTCTACCTAAAATCCATAAACAATTCAATTCTGATCTACCACTCGGTTACCCTGGAAGACCAATAGTATCTGGATGCGGTTCATTAACTGAAAAGATATCATCGTATGTCGATAATATACTCAAACCACACATGGAATCATTACCCTCATATGTCAAGGATACTACAGATTTTATCAGAAAAATACAAAACATAACAAATATTTCAACAGAATCATTCTTAGTAACAATGGATGTATCATCTTTATACAGTAATATACCTCATAATGATGGAATCAAAGCATGTCAGTACTACCTTAATCAGAGAACAGGACAACAACATTCAGTTAAAGACATTTTACATCTTATTGAAATAGTGCTTACAAAAAGCAACTTCCAGTTTGGTGATGATAACTATATACAAAATTTAGGAACAGCTATGGGAACTAAAATGGCACCATCTTATGCTTCATTATTTATGGGAAAATTTGAAATGGACTTTTTAAATACATGTGAAAGAAAACCCTCAATATGGCTGCGATTTCTTGATGATATTTTTTTCATTTCGGACCACAGTGAAGAGGAGCTTATTACATTTTTCAATGAAATTAACAAGTATCACAACACTATTAAATTTACTTATAACTACTCAAAAACAAATGCAACATTTTTAGACGTAAATTTGGAAAAGAAAGATAACTGTGAAATTGAAACTAGTGTCCATGAAAAAATAACAAATGCCCATCAATATATTGAATTTTCTTCATGCCATCCTTTGTCATGTAAAAAAGGTATTCCATTTACCCAGGCTAAACGATACAGACGAATTACATCAAATAACAACATATATGAAAAAGACTGTGACAAACTACGAGGTTATTTCCGTGCCAGAAACTATCCAGAAAATATCATTACAGACACAATTACCAGAGCATCAACTTTATCGAGGGAGGATACATTAAAATTAAAAGACAAATCAGAAGAACGTGAAAATGTTATCCCCTTTGTGTGTACATATAATCCATCTTTACCTAATATAGGTAAAATAATTAACCAATATTGGAACCTATTGAAATTTTCTCCAAATGAAAGTGTACGTAAATTATACAAATACAAACCAATTGTTGCTTATAAGAGACCGAGAAATTTGCAGGACAATTTAGTTCATACTCATTTAATTGCCAAACTCATGGTTGGTTCAGTATCTAAATGCTGTTGACCTCGTTGAATCATTGTAATAATATTGTTGAAACTAATAATTTTTCAAGTACTACTATACCTAAAGCATTTGCTATAAAACGTGATTTTTCATGTATATCTTCAGATGTCATTTATCTTAAAACTTGTAAAAAATGTAAAAAACAGTATGTTGGTCAAACTCAGCAAAAATGTAGTCTAAGAATGAATAGCCACAAATTTGATATTAAACACTTTCCTGACACTATTACCAATGTATCTGAACATTTTAATTCTGAAGGGCATTCTATCAAGGATTTTTCATTTATGCCAATTGATAAAGTAAAGAATAATTGGCAAAGGTTATTAAAAGAAACTTCCTGATGGCATGAATTCCAAAATACTTTATTAACTTTGAGGATTATAATTCTTCATTTTAATATATTTTTTTTATAAAAAATTGTATTTTCTATTTTTTGCTTAATATGACTTAAAACTAATTTCATGTCATTATGTAGTTTATGCTGGTTTTCTTATTTTACATAGCTTTTTACTGCATCTCCACCAGTGTTTTGTATCTTTTATAAAGATCCTACATATAACATTTATACGCCAAATTATGTATTACATTTTGACGTTGTTGTCCTTGACGTCATATGACGTTGACGTCATTTCCTGTAAACAAAGTATACCTGATGAAGACTTTTGAGTCGAAACGTTGTATATTTTTCAAATAAAATAATTACATTTTTAAATTGAAACTGGAGTTGATTTCTATATTCAAACTTATATTATTACTACAACATAGAAGTCTCTAGCATCAATTGTGATCCTCCAGAATGGAAACCAAGGACATATTGACTAAAAAGATAGAAAAAATGGCTGACTTCCAGATGCGAAAATCAACTCATATGCGCTTCCTTGAGAACTGTATAGCAGAAAATGTTGTTCCAAATGGACTGAAGATAAAACTTCAAGTGCAAGTTGGTGAAAATGGTCGCCTGCAGAAAATTGTTGACAGAATTTTGTTAAAAACCTCAATGGAAATTACAAGACTTGTCTCTGAAGAACATTATCAACAATTACAAGAGTCAAAGCCAAAAATGATTGAACTTGAAAATGAACTTAGATCTAAACTAAACAACAATGGTGAAATGAATAGAATTTCGCAAGAAATATTCAACAAAACAGAATTAAAGAAGAACACTATTGTTGCAAATCAAAATAAGAAAATTAAGCAGCTGACTGACAAAAGAGACTGTTACATTATTGAAGAATCTGCACAAATTTCTACATCAAATCGCAATGATGAGAAAAGAAAAAGACAATTTTCCAAGAATCAAAACAAAAACCAAAAAAAGAGAGCAAAGAACAAATTATGAACATTCAAATAAAAATGCCAAAGAAGAGGTAAATGATAGAGACAACATTAAACCATTGGCACAAACAAATAACAAATGTGCAAAGCCAAAATCAATGCCATCAAATGTTTCAAAAAACGAGATATCCCCAGGCAGCATGAAGATGAAATACAGCGAAGCCGTGACAATGGGGAAACAACAATACAAGAAAATTCATGTACCACAAGGGAGCAGCATACAACACCAGAATGGAAAAAACACATTACATCTAGAGAAACCTATCCAGGAACTGATCAAATGCCTACAGAATAAAAAAAGAACAGACGATTAATTCGAATTACAAACAAAAGAAAATGGAAGAAAATTAAAAAAGACATGGAAAGGGTTAAGAACACTGTAATAAGTCATTCTAGTAAACAGCTCAATAACACTGAATATTGATTACTTGGTAAAGGTTTAAAATTCTGCAAAACACCAAAACCCCATAATAGACTTCAACTAAAACAAGAATTTGAATTACAAGAAACCTCAGATTGAATGAATATTTTGCAGCAAAAAAAGGAAAATAGTGAGGAAAATGAAAGCAATACTACCAATAATTATGGCATTAACAGTAAGAAGAGAAACAACTCTACTTTTATTCCCCCTTCTGGTAGAGACTCCAATCTTGAATTTTATATTGAAGCAATAACAAATGAAATACTGTCAAACAGTAAACACAATAGTTATAAAACAAATTTATCACCAGAAGAGTTAAAAGCCTTGCAAACCCTACAAAAAGATGAAAATATCATTATAAAAAAGCTGATAAAAGTTCGGTTATTGTTGTTATGAACCGTACTGACTACATTAGAGAAGTTCACCGACAGCTTGAAAACGACCAATATTATAAGAAACTTGAAAATAATCCAACTGAACAATTTTAAAAGGAAATCAGGAAAGCCTTTACCAAAGCAATACTAATTAAACTTTTGATTGTTCGCGAAAACAGCGTAAATATATATAAGATAAATCTCAAATCTGTACTTAAAAACTAAAAAAGTGCATCTCTCAAACTTTGCTTCCCAAAACATAACAGTTCACTAAAGTTTTGTTTTAGTTTGTAACGGTTACATTGGATAAGGTATTGTTACCTCAGATAATGTAAAGCTTTCAATGTTTATAAACATTTTTATACTTTATTTTTTTAAACTTAGTTTAAGAAATTTTGAGTACAAATGGTAAGATATATGTTACCAAGTAACAGAAACAGTTGTATTCTTCATAGTGAATAAAAAAAAAACACAGAAACTACTAGAAGCAATTTCGTCGCAGTTTGAAGACGGTAAATGCAATTTATTTACCCTGCAAACATAGGTCAATAAATGCCTGCATGAACATTGAACGTCCTGTTCCAAAATAACTTCAAACTCATAATTATTGAGCTGTGTTATTAACATTTAGAAAATCCTTTCGAAATCAATATGTTTAGTCTATGTTCAAATGTGACATTACCTTAATGTAAAAACAAAACTAAACGAATATTAAGCATTGATGTGACTAAATTGTGTAAAATTTTATAATTAGAATGGGAATAGCTTACTAAACAAAAGGACAATACGAAATAGTTTCAAATTCATTGTGATTTGGTGTGTCATTTGACGAAAATGAAATGCCGAGAGTTGTGTTTTTTTTTTATTTCAGAGCGTTATCCCTTTATCTAATTCTTAAGGAAAACAACGAAGACAAGTTTTGGCTGTCGGAGAGGTCAGCATTCCAATTTTACAAGATCTGTCATTTTCTTGACATCTTAATACATCTTAATACAATCACTGAAATGTTGAGACGGCAAACGAAACACTGACAATTTTGATGAAATAAGAAGATTTGATCGTTAGAATTCCTGTGTCTGCTTACATTATGATCCAGTGATTACACTTTTTCATTGATGCATCTACATAACTATTGTTTTCATAATTGTCATTGAGTTATATTTATTCTGTTTTTTATATCATCTTTCATGTTGTAGAGTTCAACGATGATTTTGAATAGTTTCTTTTACAATTCTATAGCAAACCGAATAATGTTGACATAAATGTTGTTCACAAAGCACATTAACATTAGTCAACTCTTCACCGAATGTTTACAAACACGCTGCAAATGTGCAAGGAAGTTATAATAGTTTAACTTTCTATTTATATACTGTATACATAATTTTACTCAGTGTTTCGTTAAGGCTTGCGTCTTTAAAGTACTCCCATTAAAGCACTTGAAATATTATTTTCGCTTCTATACTTATTTTGTTTTTGTACAATGTCGTGAGTTCGATGTAGTCGTATTGAATTATTAATATCAGAAGTTAACAAGAACATCGAATGTTTTACGGCTTCCTTTAAAAGCACATGACAAATCTGGACATGTCTGACAATTTTGTGAAAATCATTAGCATACAAAAGGTCTGATTTTTATAATTATTATTGTTGTTCAACAACCAAATAGGCGTATTACTCTACGCTATTTTCACAATATAAATCACGTGAGTTAGACGTAAATGCCAGACAAAAAAGAAATTTTATAGTGAGAAATATAATATTACATATAACTCACTATTTCAAAAGATTAGTTATAATGATGCGTATTTAGAAGATTTGGTCTATTGCATACACATTCATACTATCTTTGCAGATATATGAATTGACAGATCTTAAATTATGTTTTTTTTCTGTCCGAAGATAGTTCCACAAATCACTGTAAAACAAACGTCGCCTTAGCCTTAAATTACTTAGCACATGTGTATCTTACTAATTTTAAAGTAAAAATTAAAAATAAAATGTTTCAAGAAACTTTCAATACAAAAAATTGTTAAAGCTTTCATACAGACTTGAAGTGAGCGTATGCGGCCCACACTGAAACATAATCGTCATTTTACAAAGTTAACCTTCAAAACAGGGTATATGGTCATTGGCGTTTTAAACTGTTTTACGTTATGACATGAAATATATATACCTGGCGCTATAAATATGACGTTATTTTTAGGAAATCATGTTAAGGACATCTCCATTTACTCGCACGACAAAATAGGTATAACATACAACAACTATAAAATCTGAGAAAACTATTAATCACACTGATATGGGTTTTGTTTTGATTTTTGACTTGAAGGTATTTTTACTTGCTTACATTTTATTTGGGGTAAAAAAATCGTAAACATTCCTTGGATTGGGTTGGGAACAAGAATAATATTATTCTGTAACTGAAGCGATTAGAATTTTTTTTTAATTGCTACGGCACTTTGAATAAGTCACACATGTATAGGTTGTTTGGTTCGCTAACATATATTTGGACAACATATTTATGAATCACAGATCTTTATTATTTTATTCAAATTGTACAAAGAGACTTGTAGAAATGTGTATTCCACTGACAATCATCCACTACATCGTGATAAGATTTTTGTCAGTTGAATAAAGAGAAGACAGCAACGATGATTTGTAGGGTAAATGGTCTACATACGTTAAAGAATTTAATCCATGGCTGAAGGCATAATCCATTCCAATGAATATATAATTAAATAAGGATTTATTTGGCCCTTGTCAGGCAAGATGTTTACGTATTTCGGTTCAGTTTATACTTACTGTTTTTAATGAACAATGCCTGTTTGTTTTATTGATATGGAGGATATTTTATAGGAAAACATAACTTT